CCCAATCTTGTGAACCTTTTGGATTTGTTACATCACGTTCTGGAGGAGATTCAGTTCAGACCCTGATAACCTTCATACCACAGAGGTCCGTAGACCTAAAGAAGCTCTAGACATACACCCGTGACCCTGGGAGCCATAACTGATTCAAATTGGGAAGAAAAGGTGACACACACATGTGGTGGGCATGTCATGGTCTATAAACTCATTAACAATGCATTACACATCATTAAGACTCATTAACTGGGCATCTACCCCTGCCACAGGCAGATCAAATTGCTTTACAAAATCTAACTAGAGCTTGGAAAAGGATGGGAAGGAAAAGGTCTCCTGTTAGGCAATACATAATGGTTTGGAAAAGCCCCAGCCATGTTACCAGTCTCCACCCCATAGAAAGCTGCAACTATGCCTACGAAGGATTCAAACCAATGACCTGATAAACCAAACTCTGGACTCTAGCCTTCGGCAAGTCGACCGCAGGTTGTCTTATTATAGAGAGTTTACACTATACTATAAATCTAACAGACAAAGGAAGAAATGAAAACACTTCTTAAATACAGGAAAACATACAGTTTTATTCATCGCATTACACAATCGCATATCATTTAGACTAGAGTATGAAGTGATTTCTGTTACATGTTAGTACTGCAGGTTGGGAGGTTTTGAAACAATCTGTCCAGAACAAGAAAATATAACCAATTTCCAAGTGAATACTAAGACTGCCACCAGACATGAAACATTACAACTGCTAGTGAACATCACAATAGTATAGAAATCAATAAATATTTTGTTTACATTTAGTACCAAAGGAATAGTCAGGTAGTGCTACACAAAATAAGCAAAGGACAAGCATAGAAACACAAATATTTGAGACAACAAATTGTGCAGCACTTAATCATTGAATAGGAACTGTTCAAACCATTGAAGTTATCTATTAGAAGATCCTTGACACATTGTGACAAAAAAAGAGCTAAATCAGCAAAAGACTAGTCTAAGATGTTTTGTCTTGTGTTCATTGACAGAAATTTCACTTTAATATAAATTAAAATAAAACATTCACACAAATAAATTAGTGAAAAACAAGTATACCATGAAAATGTTTCATGAACAAAAGTGTAATTTCTGATAGATGAATCTGAATGTATCAGTACATATTTATCGTAATAGTCAATACAATGTTGTATTTGTATCTTTTCATTTCAGTGTTGCTAACAAAAATCAATATAACAGCCCATTCAAACTATTCAATTTCTCACACGTACCGGCTAAGGTCATGTTGACCCTGGTACAATTTGGCAAATATTTACGTGGAAGTTCAATGTAATGTCTACAAGTACAAAATATAGCAACCAAATAATAGTACCCTGACATCACATTTATATAAAGATAATACCTTTTATTATTTGGTTTAGTTTCTACCCACTGGAAAACTGTGGGTAATTTCAGTTTTTCACTTTTTGGTCCCCACTGTTCTGACATACTTCAAAATGATCGAGAAACTTTAGATGCATCTTTGGAGGGAAAATTTGCCCACATCCAGGACAAATGACATCATCTTCAGTTTGTGTGGCCACACCTTCTTCGGAGTATTTAACTTTCTGAGCTCGAGGTTTTTGACTGGTCGGAGGAAGAGCATCTTTCAAGGCAGAAGATGGAGCTGGCTGCTGTTGAAATCGACCTTCTTGGATCAGCGAGTCCATACTAGTTCCAAAATTGTGAGATGGTGGTGGACGTGCAATAGGAAGGGCTGTGTAATAGGAATCAAAAGACCAACGGGAGATTAATGGATTAACACCTTCTTTTCTCAGTTCCCTTTTTTCAGGTAACGAGGAGGACTTTGCTATAGGTACGTGAGAGAATCCCATTACTGAAGCCAAACCACTACTATCGAAACCAATGGTGACACCGCCAGCTGCTAAGCCGTCTTCTTCTGCTACATTTTCCGAAGGAACCAAATCAATACTGCTGGTACTGGTGGAAGGAGTAACATTCACTACAGGTATAACTACACTACTGTCATGTTCTAAGTTCAGTTCAGCTGTACTACTCTTTCTTTCTTGCACTTCCCAGGAGTCCTTCACCAAATCCTTTTCTACAATATTAAAACTATTCGCACTGTCTCTACATGCAGGGAATACTTCAGGGAGAGCAGTTTTTGGAGAATTATTATTACCATCAAATTTTAACTCACTAGATGGCATAACTGATTTCGAGTCTTCGTTTATCTGAGGAGGAAGCTCTTCTGAATTTTCAGGGCATTTAACACACAGCTTTTCTTCATCATCTTCACTAAGTTTCGAGACTTCAGCAGAGAGTTCAGTCAATTTGGCACCTTCTTTTTTATCTCCATCCACTACCAAATCATCACTGAAGAAAATAGTGGTTCCTCGAGGCAGCAGTGGACTCTGCAAATAAAAATTATTATTATAATAAAACATCGCAAAATGACAGAAGGAATGCATCTTATTTTGATGATAATATGATTCAATACTTACTGAGGTGCATGGCACATGTACAGTACTTCTGTATGTTTTGGCATGGTTCTTCCGACACATATTGACTTGGCTGCCAGGGAGGAAGATGTTGCATTGGTCAATTTCACTGACATGCGCTTCACAACATTTACAGTGCGTGCAATTCTGGAGCTTCTCCTCACGAAACTAAAAAGAAGAAACAATTTGTTAGACATTTATAGAAGACATAATTAGTTTATAGAAACTTAACTATAGGAAATATTTGGTTGGGAGAAACTCTTAGTGAACAGGTATTTCTACCGTTTCCAGAGTCATCAGTGCCCTCAAGTATTCCTACCAACTTCTTTTATTGAACTATGAAAAGGAGCAACCATTGTTTTCTTTCACTTTATCAACAGTCTCTCCTATACTATAGATTTTAAATGCAAATAAATAATTGTTTAGAGTAATGAAACTTTAAATAACTGTACATATGGTTTAAACACTTCTTTGCACCCACATTTCAAAGTATGCCCGTGATTTATACCAGACTACATCCTACATGATGTGACATCAAACCTTTCTGGGGTGTGGTAGTTAAAAAATGGGAATGGATGGTAAATACTCCGGCAAGGTCTTGGACCGGAATTCTGAATCAAACTTTAAATTTAATGTAAAATTCTGAAAATCAGAAAAATGTGGAACCAGATTCCAAAAATTGACTGCCAAAGAGCAAGATACACCTGCACAAACAAGGAAAAATCAGGAATTTAAGGACAAAAGGGGAAATAAAACAGACGACCCCCAAAGCAATCCCTTTCACTAAATAAAAATGACAAATATTTATCAGCATCTTAACTTAAGACTAAGTGCTAGGGTAAATACGACATGTGGAGTGAAGCTTTTAGAGGCATAAAATGTTTAGATATCAGAATCCTACATTACACGTAGTAAACTTTCCGCAATGATTCAGTACATTCAAGACACGCTCAAGAGAAAAAAGAGTACTACTATCAGTGCTGAGTAATATAATTCATCCTGTGCTAAAAGGTTTTCAGAATTTTCCACACACATGAAATTCATTGCAAAAGTGAGTTTCAAAATTAGAAGGGACCTCAACTTCCAATTGATATGGATTCACTTTGGGTCAGAAATGTTTATCTACTTATAAATTTCCTCCTATTAACTAGTGCTAAGCACGATATTAACCAGTTGCTCGTGCTCTTCGAGAAATTCGAGTCGAATCGATGAACTGAACTCAACCAAACAAAAAACCGAACCGAAAATCAGTCATCGACCCGAATCCTCAAGCAACCTCAAGCCAAGATGCAATTCACATACTGTAGAATCTTTAGAAGAGGGCTACGAGACGAAAGAGCGAATAACCAGATAGGTTTCGCGCACGCGGCGTGATTCGCGAGACATGTTCCTAGAGAAGTAAGGCGGGTTGCGAATTTCACGAAATGCTTCAGAATGACTTCTTTTATTTCATCACAACACAGGTTTTACAATATTCTGTACTGTTCACTAAAACAAATTAATTCCCTAGCTACTTCGCTCTACTCATTCTAGTTGTTATGTCTTACAAGAGTGGAGTTCCACTTAGTCAAACTAGGCAGAGAGCCCCCGAGATGATACTTATATAATAGGGACCCCAATATATTTTGAACTAAAAATGGGTGTAGTTCATAAGTATAAAAGGCAATTCCTAAACATAGGCTGTACATTTTTTAAAACTTATTTCGTTAATTCTGATTTTAAAATATTTCTACTACTGAAATGTTAATAATAAACAAGATGAAATTATACAATCGAATTAAATTGAAAATAATAGTATTGCTCACGACAGACGTTCACAGTTCTCCGAGCAGAGAGAGCGGAGAGAATTTTTTTATAGTCCAACACGCCCGCGTATCGCCAAAAAGCAATTTCAATCTCGGTTCTGCTGTACCTCCTAAGACCTACGAATGTTGTTCCCAACATTTAACTCTTTTGGGTGGGTGGGGGTGAGGGGTTAAATTCCTACAAAGGAGGGGCCTCAATTTCTTAATTGGCTAGAGGCCTTCGGTCTTTAAATCCGGGCCTGCCGTCCGAAAGGATTCGAATTTTCAATCCCCTCCTCACCTTTTGCTTGAGGGCGCGCAGGTCGCGCTGCAGTTCGCGCACCCGTCGCTCGGCGGCGTCCTTGTCGTGCAGCGCTTGCTGTTTCTCGCCGCGCTCGGCCTCCCAGTCGTCGCGGTGCGCCTTCAGCTGGAACTCCAGCACCTCCACGTGCTCGCGGTGCTCGCGCCGCGCAGACTCCAGCTGGCGCGTCAGCCGCGCCACCTCCTCCCGCAGCTGCGCGCGCTCCTGCAGCAGCGCCTCCAGCGACGGCGCGGCCGCGTCACCCACCTTGTCGCACACCTGCGCAAAGGACAGTCGCACCCGTTAGCACACTGCGTTTCAATATGTGCTGGACAGTTGCTTTTTTATTTATTTAATTTTATTTTTTATTTATTTAATTTTATTTATTTATTCAACCGGTTGCTTGTTATTGCCTTTGATGTGGAGTTTGATATTCACGGCATAACGTACCTGGATCGAGAGAATAGTGGTTACGAGGGAAGTATGAAAACAGTTGAATGGTGCTACATGTTCTCTTATCGAGATAATTATGAAAGGGAATTGCGGGAGGGAAATATGAAAAGACAAATCGAGCAAAGTTAACTAGTTAATTAGTAAATCTGAATAATTAAAATTACGTAAAAGATAAAATCATAATAACCATCATCACCATTTTTATATTAATCCCAAACCCAAAAATAGCCTGCAAATGTACGTCATGTTGCAACTATAAGTCTCGATACGAACCATAAACTAAACCTTTACTATAAAAACCGTTACACCTTGTGGAACACCCTAACCCCAGTACAAATTATTGCGTAACTGCTTATCTTTACATTATTTTCATTTTTTTCCAAACATATTCATAAAATAATTTAATCTTATTTATCAATTGGACCACAAGAAATTTATTGCAAAATTGCAGCTTGAATGAATGGTGTCACTTTCGAGGAAAAGAACCACACAAGCCAGTTTTCTCACCGAATAACTCTCCAAAAAAACCAAACACCTCAACGAAACGCCGCTCTGACATCCTGAACACTCATATTTTCACATTGTCTGCCATGACGATGCGTTTATTAACTTTCGTGACTGCAAAGGCCATTTCAAAAACATTACTTTGCAATCGTTATGAAGACGACAGACAGAAAATGACTAGTCAATTATACAAAATTACACTTTCGCTGTCGAGAACGAGGCTCAAATATCATACAACGGCAACCTAGTATTCATGACAAGCGGATGCTGACAAGTTGACAGAACAGATAAGTCAACTACGCAAGAAAGAGTGTTTTGCGTACGCTAGTTAAGATTTCTTCACTTCATAATTCTTTTCTTTCATCACACTTCTTTCTTTTATTTTCATCTCTTTTTTGTCTACTTCAAAATGTTTAATATTTTTTGTGACAATGCAATGAAAATTGAAATACACTTGCACCAGTTACTTTTTATTTTCAAGGTATTCCTCTTACTGCACTTCTCAGAAATCGTAAAACACGGATCTTCTATTTTTCTTTTAAATTTCTAACAAACGAGTATGAATGCACACGATTCATGAGCCAATCTCATTAATTAGGGCGTATTTTAAGTCTCCTTAACGAACCCTTGAGTTAAAAGACTCGTGACTTACCGACGTGAGAGAGATCTGAAGATGATGCGAGATCCAAGAGCATTAACATCATGAATATACGCTGAATATTTAGAAATTTACACAGCATGCTCAAAGATTTGAGAGATATTCGTAATGACTCACGGAAAGTACCACAGAGAACTTTCTTAGTGAAGAACCTCTTATATTATATACAAAAATCCAACAAATCAAAGTAGTAAATCCTGGTCTCCTGTTATGTCATTATCACAACCGGCATTTTGCCACCTCAAAGAACGAAAGGGATTATCTGAAAAAAGTATTCAAGTGGTGCGGTGACTGCGTTCGGGAGATAATATTCCCAACGAGGAAAAAATTCAACCCCATTGTTGTATCCAGTGAAATGGGTGTAGAATCCCAACGGATTCTACGTCGTGAATGTTAAGCTACGATTCGCAAAACGACTGCGTAAATGCCAGTTAACTTTCTGAAGCATTTTAGAACAAGACTTAAATCACAGGTTATCTTTTTTGAACGTACAAATTTACGAAGAAAACGTACTTATTTTTTTCTTTCCTTTTTTAAAACAAATGCGAACATTTTACGGATAAAAATGACATTATTATTCGCAACGACTATGCGCAAAAAGGGGTTTACACTTTAATGCCCTGTTATCGCAACCGCAGATCGTCTTTTTGAACTACAACAGGTCGAGGAGGAAAACGCGCCCCCACGGCAAGCTCTCCTTCTCTTAAGTGGGTGCGAACATCCACACTTCGTGCCTCAGCCCAGCACGGCCGAGTCTGCAGCCAACCGCGGGGTTTGTTCGAGAGAGAGCCCGCAGAGAGCAAGCTCTATCGCGGCCTGCACTCGCAATTCCCGCGCCATTTCGCCTCGTAAAATCGCCCGGCGGCGCTGCCTCGAGATAAACCTCGCGCGGGTGGGTTTCCGAGCGGACGGTTTCGCCGCGCCGCCGTTCACAGGTTGGCCGCTCAAAGCGGTGTGCAGCGCACGCGCGCGGCGTGGAAAACCACGCAGTGTTTAAGTAAACACACGCGACGTTTGTTGGCCGTAAATTTTAAAGGAAAAAAAATACGCTTCAGGTCGCGCAAGGCGCCTGCGCGGTCGACGCGTTTTATACAGAGGTGATAGGCGGGCTGGGCGTTAGAACAATACACGAACGCCTGTTTTTTGTTTGTTTGTTTGTTTGTTTTTTTCCCTCTCCGCGACTAGAGTACACCGTTGGTACATGGATGTTTCTCCGAACGCCGAAGTTCATGAGAGAAGGTTGTGGCGTATGGAACTGTTACAACGCGTATTTCGCGCAGCGCGAAAAAAATATTCTTCTATCCTTGCATCTCTGTTATCTGTGAAGAATTCATCATTCTTTCAGACATTTTTGTGATTGGTGTGAATAAATACATGTGACTCCATTCGTGAAGTTTCTACATTTCGTCATCGGAAATTTTAACCCGCGTTGTGACAATATTAATTGAACACCGTAAGAGCATTGCTTTGCAACATATTTTTAGTAGAGTGTGTAAATGTTTAACACGTCAGTCCATGGACGATAAAACATACGAAAAGAAATATACAAACACGGAGGCAAGAATGCCTAATCGAGCAGTCCACATACGTCATTACAAATTCGATTCATGTCTATGTAATCCGCGATACAATCACGTTGCGTTCTTCTCCGGTAATGAAAGTACTGGAGAAGTGCAACAGATTGTGTACATTGCAACGCATGTCAATGAGAGCCTGAGTGTCTTTCATTGACTCGCTTGTTTGCGGTTTGAATTACGAACTGTCATTACACCTGACGGGCTCAATACTAAACCAGGAGTATGCTGACCTCTTTCGAGTGAATGACTCGGTCCTCCACGATCTTGTTCATCTGCTCCTGCTGATCTTGGATTGTAGAGAGCAGCCGTTGCACGTAAAGCTGCCGGTCATTGTTGTACTTTTGCCAGCGCTTGTTCACCTCCGTTACCTGTTCAACAGATATTGCGATTAAAATTTATATTAAACGAGCATATTTGTTTAATGAGTCACATTTCATCATATGTCTTTAATTCGATTTTCACAATCTCTTAAAGACTGAAGATAGACCTGTATTCTGCAAATGTACAAGTATCTATTGCATTTACATCATTTTATCAATTTAATCTAAAAAACCGCCTCTGATGCTTCCCAATACCTCCACTTTTTATGCTTTTTTTTAAACTTATCTCAGTCAACTACAAGCAATTGGTACCGAATCACTTTAAAATCCCTACTTTTTTGAGACCTCAATTACATGAAGTGAAATACACGAGTACTTTGTAAAACAATGAAAGATGTTACAACGTCTTCCCATTTAACCCCACTTAAGAGAACATAAAACTTTAAAACGAGCACTGAAACACTTCGAGAGTAACTGCCGGAAAAAATAATAATAATAAAACTTACGTCGGTGATGACCGCCTGCAGCTTGAAGTTCTCCTCCTGCACAGCTCGAAAGTTCTTCTTGAGCTCGTCGAATTCTCCTCGCGGGAACGGGGCCGCATCCGAAGAACCCTGTAAACAAGAGAAACGAACATTTTAGCTCGGAACAAACTGGGACTAGAGAGCTACGGTTGCATGCACGTCGAAAGTTCCAGACAGTTCTGACTATCCTTGAACAGGAAACAAAAAACAAAAACCGTTCTGTTTCAATACTTTTATAAAAGCCAAAGGGTTAACAAAACACGCAAGATTACAGATAAAAATCCATTCTACTTGACCTTCAATTACGTTTTAATTCAGCTCTATAACAGTTCTAAGAGCTGGCATAGACTGTAGTAGTTCAAACTTTTATTCAACATTAAATTGTTAAGGCAAGAGTGATTCTTCATTGACAGTAAGCACACTGTTAATCTAATCTTTCTCGTCAACACCTGGGGAACACTAAAATAATTGCTCTCGGTACAACCAATCAAGTCTACTAACAGACATGTACGCGTTTGGACGAAGACACAACTGCTACCCCGTTCGTGAGAAGATAACATCTCGAGATCTCCAGAGGAAAATATTCCGTTCCTTCCGGCTGTTGAACAATTTGCAAATAAGAAACGAAAATAACGATCTAACATAAACAAACCGAAAACACAGTAAAAAAGATCTCAACGGCTTGCTAAAAAGGAATCACGGCCAACACACACGCTAATTCTCAGAGAGCGTTGACCGAAGGGTGCCCCCCAAGTAAGCGGACAGAGAGACACCGCGACGAGAAGTGGTTTGCATACTTGCGGACCCTAACGAGGGCTCCTTACGCAAATAGAAAGGTGGGATGCACTCTTCGTAGCGTCCTCCGCACTCGAAAGTGGAGCGTGGAGAGAGGCTCAAAGCGAGACAACCCGCCCCCCTCCCCCTCGGTGGGAAAACTAAGCGCATCGGAGAAAGGGCGCTTAGCCGTGCGATGAAAAAACGAGAGCGGGAGATCTCAGTCGACACGGAGGGAAAAGAAGCAGATACCAGCGAACGTCTTTGATGTAATGTGACAACGTAACTTCTCGCTAACGAAGAAAAGCGTCGTCAAATTATTTCGTCTGTGTTACATGTACGAATAATTCATCTGGAACGAAGGCGGTTCCCACAGTCCCTGAGGACTGAGCATTATAAACCTCCTGTTTAGATTTAATTTACCCGAAATGAAATTGCTGTTACCTTCATTAAAATAAGCCAACAAAGCATATTAATGGCTCATTATGCCTGAACGCTTACAGAGAACGAGGAAAACAGACTTGCAAAATTCAACACGGCCACCAGCTTGGAAGGAAATGTCTACTCTTTTCACATCTGATCTTCAAATAGAAGACATGCGCGCTTGCGACATTTACCGAGATATCATAACAGATGGCTGGTGCATATGGGAAACAATGCTGGGGACTCGTCGGGAAAGCAAAAATGGAATAAACGAGCAATTGTGACCATTGTTCTTCTTCTTATCTGTAAAACCCGCGTGTACTGTAAAAATTATCTTGTGTCCGCCCGCCTATACCAGAAATTTATCATCTCAACTAGAAGTTGCAAACACAACCTTGTTTTGAAAGCTGAGGACTGTGAGGTGAACGAACCAGCAATACTTGCTTGCCACTTCACTGTTCGAGTATTGCGACTAATCTCACGAAGGGTCTAAAGTTTAAAAAATCTAACATATGACGTTTCCCCCCAAAAATTCCAAACGTTTATTTCAATGGAAGTTTGTGAAACAATTGAACTAATAAATAAATATTCGAACGGTTTAGATGAATTTCCGGGTAGTTTCACAAGGACTTGTGCTGATGCCGTTATACATCTGTTAACTCACATACTCAAATGTATTCTTATGAGCGGGTATATTTCAAGATATTTGGGAGATTAAGAGATTATATATTCTCGAGATCTCTATAGTCTCAAAGGCAATTCCAGGCTCTCACATTGGCAATTCCCAATGTTGGCAAAATAAAACTTCATCAGAGGAAGGATTCCATCAGCTTTAGTTCGTAACTTAGTTGCTTCGTAACACAGTAGACACAGACTGGCCGAGGTGTTCAAATTAGGTGCAATGGTTGAATAACATTTTTTTAATTACTTTAGAAGGAAAACTTACATTCCCCCTCCCCCAAAAATACATCATTTATCGGGAGCGCTTTTTAAAACTAATTTTAGTTTTGAACTCCACGATAAAATCATATCAGAATACTGAACGTTGACTTATACACTTAAAATTAACCACATCCGCGAAAGGAGCTGAAAAAAAATGTATTCACGCGTAGCCTTAAAAGCAGCATCGCGAAGATGAAGATAAAAGTTCGTCAGCCAAGGCGTTCGTTGCTAACCGCTTCTAGCGCAGCGCCCTGTTCCAGGAAAACGATCGAAGTCCGCTGACGGCTGCCTTCCGAAGGGAAGGAAACAAGGGCGGCAGATACCAACTCGAACGCCACTATCTCTCCGGACGGAAGGGCAGCCCTCGGCCAGCACCACACTGGCGCCACGTGGCGGGCTTGAAAGAGCGTCGGGACGCACACCAAGAGCTTCAGTGTTCCAAATGGAACGTCACGTTTACACAATCAAACGTCCACCACTATTTCGGCACGCGACAGCCTTGACATCTCTAATTTCCTCTTATAAATCAACATTCAACACTCAGTACCAAATGCCAGATTCTATTATATAAATCTATTATCCTACCCACACTAACTTATGCTTGCCCAGTGTGGGGAAACGCTGCTCCCACCACCATACAAAAAATGCAAATTGTTCAAAATAAAGTCCTCAGGAAGTCCATAGTTTAAACCTCACCGCCAAATTCATAGAGAACTCCAAATGGAAACAGTGCTCGAACACATTAAAAAGGTAGCAAATAATTTCTATTCCTCCCTTCCCTCATCTCATTCCGCTCTGAAATTTTACCTTGGTCGAACAGCAAACATCTCAAGCCGAATCAAATCCAAATTTCTCAAACACATGCTTAAACCTCCCTAAACCAATAACACCATCCCGTATCTATATACAATTTTTCACGTTCCCTTCCTATTGCTCGATAGGACAATCCTAACAGTTTACCCCTCCCCAAAAAAATCAAAAATAAATCCCAGCAGCTTCTAGAAGAAAACAAAGGAATTAAACGAGCCAGAGCATCTAATCTCAATTTGTCAGGAATGCCTAAATCCCAAAACGTCAGTATGTAAAACCGAAACCCCTCTAAAGACCTTTGGTCGAACGAGAAGAAATACATTTTTTTTAAAAATCTCTAATTTCTGGATTGATTGATTGATTAGAGATTCCGGGCAAATCAACTGCTTAGGTCATTCGTTCTGTAAATGTAGTGCCCGTTTATTCCTCAGAAGGTGGTAATGATCTCCAGCTAGATGGTGAGATTCGGCGCCAACGTACAGTCAGCTAGCGCGGTTTTCTCCAGCCAGGTATCTCCCATCAGCTGGGCACCGCTCCAGCCGCGTCAAACTAAGCTCCCGACCCGTCTTCCGGTATGTCTGGTGTCCGTGGCCCGTTTGTTAGGGCACTACTCCGGCATTCTCCGGGTAATGATAGGAGAAACCACGGAAAACTACAGATCAAAGAAGCCGACCGTTAGAAGTCTCCTACACACAGCGGCTGGATTCGAACTAGCTGACAAACTGGTGTTGGAAATCCTACCACCGTCGGCACTCGAAACTAGGACCTCCCGGTCAGAGTCTAATTCCTGGAATTCTTCGTTCATCTTCCTTACAGACACGAGAATTTGACAATCTCCACCCTCCTAGTGTCGAAATATTCAGTATCTTGAAAATTGACCTCTCCTCTTCCAATTTGAGATATCGCAATTCATCTGTAAGACTACTGTCGTATGCAATATTAGAAAGCTGGTGTAACTTATCGTTTTTATGAAATTTCCACTACGCAATTCTTTTTGATTTGTTACATTCGGAATGACAGGCGAGACTAATCCGTATCTTTTGACATTCCATTCATCAATATCCGTGAAGCTGCTTAGATTATTCGTAGACGTACAGATAAAGAACCCGTCACACAGCGTGAAGGAAAAAGAAATGATTAATGACTAATGTAGTTTTTAACTGTCATATTAATTTACGAACTAAGGGACAAAACAAACTAAAAAAAATTGTGAAAGTAGAAAATCATTCAATTCTTCTTACCCGTTGATCAAGGATGAGGCCTAGAAATTTTCCAGACTCTCTCCACAGCTTTGCTCCATTTTGAGAAAATTCGTCTAGCAAAGATGGAAAACTTTTCTAGGCACGTTTATAAATATTCATACACTAAACCTTGCTAAATGCGGCCCGGGTATAAAGTGGAAATCTGTCTAATGTGAACTCAGTTCTTGAATCACATAAATCTTAGAACTTAGTCTTGCCAATCACAATTTCTACAGTTGCATAAATCTTGTCCAATACGGGGGAAAAAACAAACAAACAACAACTGATCCCTTGAGCTAGTTTTACTGTATATACTCCAAATAGGCAACTCTACGTTTGCTTAGGTTACACTTCGTGTCGGTAACAAAGAGTTTCGATGACTTCGAGGTCTAGAGCGCGACCCACAAAACGCCGCAACCGGAGCAAAAACTGACGACGAACACGAAATGTTGCATAAGAAACCGTTTCCTCCTCCCGACCACACCGCTGCATCTCGACATCAGATTTCCCGGAGGCCCACGAACACAGCTGCACCGGGGCGCAGGTGCAACAGCGCGTTCCTGAGCTCATTGCGAGCACGCGGGGCCGGGGGAACAGAGCAATTACAGGCGGCGGTCGCAAGCCGCCTCTCACGGGACGGAGGAGGTGGCGGCGGCGGGCTGGCAAGGGACGTTAATCTCCCCCGAATTAGCCGCACGGTTCAGGCCTGGCTGGCTCCGCAGTGTTGCGGGCGCAGGCCCTCCTAGGTCCAGGGCTCTGCCACCGCTTCGCGCCGCGGAGCCTAATGATGTCTTTCGTTGCATTTTTCCTCGACGGCAGGAGGGAGGGAGGGAAGATTCTGAAGTAATCCGCGCCATTTCGGTTCTCACAAACAACCCACACGCGCACGTGCGTAAACACAGCCGCGCACAGCACGTGCGTAAACACACACGCGCACGTTTGTGCGAACACATACACACCAAAGTATGCATGCGCATTGACACGTGCGTTGGATGTTCGTTTTCTCACGAGTAAGAATAAGATTTCTAAAACTCAATGGACGGTACCAATGCTGTAGCGCAAACGGCGTTACGACGGGAAATCGGTCTCCAAGATACACACGCTTGACAATGGACGTCCTTTGAATTGAAATGAATTTGCCTTATTTTACGTGGCGAGACGTCTTCACCTCGGGGCGTAGAAGGCATGCATACACTAGCATATATCCTGCATCATAAACAGCTAATGTAGATTCTCAAATGGAAATCATAGCATATTTGAAATATTTGACAGCACACAACATTCCTTTAGGGTTATAGATGTAAAAGTACGGTAGACCTCTTTTTAACTACCATTCTACCATTCACGTGGAAAGTTCCTTAATTTACTGTCAGATTTTTTATTCACTTTATCCATCAATTTAATTCATTTCATTGCTGGCTGCAACATTAAGCCATTCACGTATTATCGTAACTTCGAAAATAGCAAATCCCAAAGAACATAAAAACAATTAGAAAATAAAAAAAAAGTGGTTGAGTGAAGCCCGAAACGAAATGACATTTTGAAGTCTGTGTCCTCCTTGTCACTGGCCAGCTCGTGCCAACACCCCATGAAATATAAATGAATTCGTTTTTTTTTTCATTACAGTCTCCTGTTAGAGCTTCGAGACAAATGGTCACTTTGACCCCTACAGAATACCAATCAGCAAACAACACAGCCCAACAACCAGCAGCACAATATTGCCTCCGCCCCCCCCCCAACAAACCCATCTCAGAATTAATTATCCTAGCGGTCAGCTATTATTTTAACGCACACCTCATGAGGTCCGGGGGCAGCATGGCTTTTCAATACTCATTACGCAAGCGGTTGTCCGCGGGTGCTCGCTCATCGTGCTTGCTGGCAAAGGACGTTCCACTCCCGGTACTCAATTTGCCCGTCCTTCACAAGGAGGAAAACGCGCACGCCGCGGCGGCGGCGGCGGCGGAGAGGTCGCGTAGAAACCCACCGCGTG